CCCTATCCCCCTGTGTGCCTTGCCTCCACGACTATGACATATCTATAAAAACTTTAAAGCCTTAAAGATTGACGACCCAAAAATGTGTTACAAAATATACTATTTTCAAAACTTGAAATCCATTTTTTTTCTCAGAAATGGACGGCTGGATGGTAGGGGGAGGCTCAAATTTTATTGTTTAGAGCTTAAGAATAATAAATTGAATCATCTTAATGGATAGAGCTTAAGAAAAAGAGTTCTATTAGCATTAGAACAAGGGCAAGCTTTCTATGCTCCCCCTACAGCATAGAGGTTCTATCCTCCCCCTACCATCCAGCCGTCCATTTTTTCTCAAGAGAACCACTCACCGTTTGATCTTAGATCCGATGTCTCAAAGTATTTTATTTTTAATTTTTTTTATACAAATTGTATGAATATAAAATTTGTTACGTGCCATCTTCTCATTGGGTAACACCTATAAAAAAATATTAAAAATAATTTTTTCTATAAAATATAATGACCAAAATACCTTTGAACTTTTAGGGGAATTTGGTCATTTTATTTTATTGAAAGTATTTTTCTAATATTTTTTTCGCTAGTGCAAGTTTAATAGAGGAATGGATGTCCAAAATTTGGTGTCAAAAAAGTTTATAGAAAAAAAATTAAAAATAAAATAGTGTAGAGACGTGACATTGTGATTGGGGCAATCTTAGCCGTCCATTCAGAATGGACGGTTGGATAAGAGGGAAGATAAAACATCTATGCTATAGGGGAAGTATAGAAAGCTTTCCCTTAGAACAAACCTGAAAAATGTTGAGAACATGGAAGAGGTTGGAATTGACTTTTCGTCAATCATATACCTCAAAGTTAAGAATGACCCGTAATCATACATCTATAGGAAAAGTTTACAAAGAAACTATTTACTCGGGAGTTCACAATTACTCTTGTCCATCAGATTTTAAATTGGTGATTGTGAGTGTGTCATTCAGTCGCCTCAAAGTTTAAAATAAACACTTTGGAATATTGTGACACAGCCCAAGCCATCCAACTCGACATTTGACGGCCATGAGAAATTCTGACCTCCTTGTAACAAAGTAAATGGTCTCATACAATCCCATATCTTTAAGGGTATCTAGAAAGCAAATGCCCTGGAACACAAGATGAGTACTTCCACTCCCTGGACTTCAACACAAGTACCTTTCTAGCTCTCCTCTTTGCTTTACTATCACCCTCAAAATTCACCACTATGCAAAGCTTAGCAACTGCCCCTACTTGCAACATCTCCCTGCTAACCTCCTCACAATCACAATATTTACATATGGACCACAATATATTCACGGCATGCTCATCTGCCACCGGTGAAACCCTTAAAATTTTCTTCGAAACCACTGCCAAGCCGGCCCTGTGTTTAAGCAACTCGGAGCGACCCTCAGAAATCCCACACAGCAAATCTAACACCCCAAGTAACAACTCACAACTCTTCTCCTCCAAAGTCTCTATCAAGAACTCAACAAGAGCAGGGACCAAGCCAGCTTTGCATGCCTTGACTCCATTCCTGCCCCACGTACAAACCTCCATTAGTGCATGCAATACAGCCTTGGTTCCAAGGTTGGACATTCGATTAACCAAGACATGGACCATGCCACGGAAGAGTTCATCCTTCAATCCCATGAGAACACCCACTTCAACCATCTTGAAGATAGTCCTTGAAATCAAGGACGCACAAAGTTTTGATTGATTACTTCCATTATGGAAGACCCATGCCAAGGATTCAATGAGTCCATCATAACCATTTGCTGTGAAGTGCTTAACTTCATCTTCAGTTATTTGGAGAAGGTGAAGTATGCATAGAGCTTCTTCAAGAACCATTGAATTATGGACCTCTCGTGCCTGTTTGTCCAGGACGAGGCCAACCATGGTTTTAACTGCACCAGCTGCCTCTAGGCGTCGGCGCATTATCTCGCTATCCATAGCAAGAACCTTCAATTTTGATAATGGTTCTATCTTGAACCCTCGTGACACTGACAAGAGATGGAGTATTTCTTCATTGGGGATTGGTGGGCGAGGAGAGGGAACGCATTCCACACCGTTAGATGCATGGATGATGCACCAAGATTTGATTAGGCAGCGCAGCGTGTGGTTTGGAGTGAGGTCTGGATCCATGGCAAGGTTTGTCATAGGACATGTTTTCTTCTTGTAAATGTAAATCCATTTCTCCATGTTCTCCCTATCATAGGTTATTCCAGTGGATACAATCACTGGATCTCTCATAATTTGGAGAGAAATCGGGCAGAGGAAGTATGAAGGGATCTCCACTCTATCCATGAACAAAAAAACACTAGTTTGCTTGAAGATGGGTTTTGTGTGTAGGAGGCTATAAAATGGAAAACATTATGTGATTGGGTGCAAGTTGATGACAAGAGTGGTTGATTTCTTCAAGATTGTGAGACTGGTCTTTGGGTGCATGTAAATTCCTGTACTTGACTTGATCCAGCTACAAACGGTGGCTGGACTTCTCATTTAATTAGATGAATGGACCTTTTATTTGACAAATCCTCTTTTAGATTTTGTGAACTCAATATAATTAGCAGTCATGGAATGGAGTTACTTTCAAATTATTTGACTAACTTTGGGTACTTGCCATTTGAAGTTAGTTTATTTATCAAATTTGAATGGTGCTAACTTTGAATGGCTCTCATTCTCTACTTTGAAACATTAAGCGAATTGAGAAGGTTCCCCATGTCATTGGTTCAAAAGCGCATTTACAATTGTGGGTAAGCCGATTGTGTTGATTAGGATTTGTTTTTAATATCGAAACAGTTGGTGAACTACTAATGTTTTTTATGGAAAAAAGAATTCTTCATTTTTTTTTTGTTTTTTTTTGTTTTTTGACAAGAGTACTGAAATTGTATTTCTTAATAGAAATTTACGTCAGACTTATACAAATAAAGCATCATAAACTTAGGGGATTGAAACAAAACTCCCCTCTTTGCAAGAGAACCAACAACTTCATTAGCCTCTCATAAACATGAGGCACACAATTGATTCCCAATCTCGATCACAGCCATCCATAGGGTTCCCAATTGCCACGGGGGTCTAGAGACATTTTTATACCCAGTGATTTAAAAATCGGTAAACCCATCCGGAATCAAGCGATCCGGATCGGAAATTGCTATGACTGTCCAGGATCCTGTAAGAAATCGGGATTCGGTCGATTTATAATGGTAGACTCGCCGATTTTTTCGTGGAACTGCCGATTCTTCAGTGAATCCGACTGATTCTTCACCAAGTCAAGCAAAACAAATAAAAAAAAAATGGATGAACAATTTTTTCTTGAATTATTTTTTAAAAAATTTGGGAAAAAATTATCGATTCCACTTATTCTTCCGATCCAATCCACCTTTTCACCCGATCCAACACAGATATGGGTCTAACTTATTCGAGTCACCGATTTGCCAATTAATAATATTTAAAGAGTCTCCTTCAATTATGTACGGTTCCACCACATCCCTTGGCTTCAAAATTTTTAGACCTTGTAATAACGCCAATAGCGCTGCTTCATTTGCTATTTTCTCCCCACACAGACCTACTACATAACATAAAGCAATCTCCCCATCTAAATTTCAAACAACACCCCCAACTCCAGCTGGCCCCAGGTTGCCTAACAAACTTCCATCAACAAATTAGGGTCAACCACATGAACTATGTTCCGTCATTCTGCTTTACCAACGGGTATATTTTTAGTCAGATCATAAGTCACCATATCTCTTCTCACTACTTCCATTCATGTCCTTTTGAATAGATTAAATTAGCTATACCGAAGGGGTCAAGTCATTTGGTGGGTACACTCTTTTTTCATTACTCCCACTCATTAATTGGACGGTGATGACACTTAACGGCCATAGATGATCTATGGTCAGATTGAAACAAATATACTTTTTAAAAATAAAAAGAAAAATTATACCACTTAGTCAATGGTTAGGATGCAAAGACTACAATATTCAATGGTTCCAATGAACTTAAACCTTAACGTGCATCACGAAAAATGGTGATTTTTTACTTTAGTACATGATAAACAAAGGGCAGATTCTTGGTGAGTGAGACGAGTTTGAATCTCAAAAGCCTTACTTTTACGCACATGGAGGCCACCCTAGATGGGCCCTCAATTCACATGGCTTTTAAAAAGTCCCATGGTAACGGTTCAAAACATTTCGGTGGATATTCAGTGTACGGATTGGGGACTTTGACGTATAGCGTTTGGCAGGTCAAGTCCACTTATCAATAATTTGAACAAAGTATAACAGTTTTGCTTCAAAAAATTCAAAATTTGACCATAACATGGTTGGAGAAAATAATAGTTCCCTTTGGTGTCTTGAATTTGTCAAAAACTCCAAAACTTTAGAAAAACGTAAATTATTTTCTGAAATGTGGATATTCATAAAATCTTTGGAAACTTTGTTAACTTGGTAAGTGTTGCCTCGAAATAATTTGTAAGTAGCTTATTTTGAGTTTACGAGGCATGAAACTTTAGTGATCTTTTTTCTTAGGGAATGTTTGGATGACGATTAGTTGTATCACGAATATATTACCTTATTTAGAATTATTTTGGATAATGTTATCTTTTTAGGTGTTTCGTACATAGCTTGTATCATCATCATCATCATAACATTTTTCCAATTATTTGGGGTCGGTTACATGAATTCTGATCCGCCAATCTGCTTTATTAAATGCCACATGCTTAGTGAGGCCATAAGTCCCCATATCTTTTCAGACTACTTCCAACCATGTTCTTATGGGCCTACCGCTTGTCATTTTCAATCTTTGTATTTGAACTAACTCGCACCTCCTAACAGGTGTCGTACTGGGTTAGCGCCACGCATGGCTAGCCCACCGTAGTCTACTTTCTCTCGTCATATCATCGATTGGTGCCACACCTAAATTTTTCCGAATTGATTCATTTTGAATTCTATACCACTTCCTCATCTCTAGTCCTATTATTACTAAACTTGCATTCCATATGCTCTATCTTAGTCCGACTAATTTTAAAATCTTTGGATTCCAGAACATCCCTCCAAAGTTCTAACTTTGTGTTGACATTGTTTCAGGTCTTATCGATCAAAACTATATCATCTATGAATAACATACACCATAGTATCTCATCATTTAGGTACCTAATTAAGTCATCCATAACTAAAACAAAGAGGTACGATCTTGATACTGACCCGTAATACCGACCTATCGTCACAAGAATCTCACTAGTCTCTCTACTAGTTTTTCGTATAGTAATTAGCGCTCCATCGTACATATTTTTTACCTAGTCGATGTACTGTTTGGAGACTTCTTTGTTTTATTTTCAACACCCGCCAAATCAAATATTGAAGTACTCTATCATAAGTTTTCTCTAGATCAATAAAGACCATATGGAGCTCGATTCCCTTCGCCCTAAACTTCCCAATCAATTGCTTAAGTAAGAAAATAGCATCGGTTGTTGATCTTCCTGGCATTAAACCAATTTGGTTTTCAGATACACTCATTTTATGCCTTAGTTGTTGCTCAATCACTATCTCTCAGAGCTTCTTACTATAACTCATAAGCTTGATCCACATAATTCTGTATGTCTCCTAATAGGTACTACAATACTATTCTTCTATTTTTCTGGCATTTTTTTGGTTCTCAACACCTTGTTGAACAGCTCCGTCAGTTAGCCAATGTGAATCTCCCCTATATACTTTCAAACCTCTATTGAGATACCATCTGGTCCTTAAACCTTTCCCATCTTCATCATTTTCAAAGCTTCTTTCACTTCCGACATCCGAATCTCACAAATGTATCTATGGCCTCTACGATCATTTATACCAACAGTTCCTTCTATCAGTATGTTAATTGTGTTCGTCATTTAAAAGATTTTGAAAATAAACTATCCACCTTTTGTTAACCTCGTCATCCTTCACCAACACCCTTTGATCATTACTCTTAATGTATTCAATAAGGTTTAGATCCCTACATTTTTTTTCTCTTATTTTTACTAATTTGATAACATTTTTTTCACTTTCTCTTGTTCCTAGTTTATTGTATAGATTATCATATGCCTTAAGTTTTACTTTACTTACTATTTGTTTAACGTTTTTCTTAGCATTTTTATATTCCTCCAAGTTTTGATGATTTCTATTACACTACCAAGTTTTATAACATGATCGTTTCTTACTAATGGCCTTTTGAACCTCATCACTCCACCATCAAGTTTCCTTATCAGAATTTATTTTCCCTCTAGATTCTCTTAAAACTTCTTTTGCTAGTTTCTTAATACAGCCAGCTATCTCATTCCATATTACATTGACATCATTTTCAAAGTCTCATTTTCCTTCTTCAATTAATTTATCCCTAAATAAATCTGTTTTTTCATTTTTTAAATTCCACCACCTAGTTCTTGGACACCCATTACTTTCACTCCTTCTCTTCCATATCTTTATGGAGACATCCATAACCACAAAAGCCTATGTTGGGTAGTCAATCTCTCTCCTAGGATAACCTTGCAGTCTTTATGTGATGGTCGGCCTATTTTCTCTACGAAGAAGAAGTCTATCTGGCTTTTATATGTTCAACTTTGATAGGTTATTAAATGTTCATCTCGCTTTTTAAAGTAAGTGTTCAATTTTGCTAGGTCGTAGACCATAGCGAAATCTAAAATAGTCTCACCCAGTGTTTTAAAAAACGTCGAGTCGAACCGGACTCTCCCCGTTCGACTCGGGAATCAGCACAGTCCGTGCCGGTTCTGGTATTTTACATGGAATCGCCCGATTCCAGAGAGAACCGGGCGATTCTGTCACTGTACCGGATCAGGGAGTCTAGTGAAGAACACGGGCTGCACAATGTTCTTCACGGGTTTCTTCAAATTTTGTCTTTTTTTTATCATTTTTCTTCTTTTTTTTTTGCCATGTGATCGAATATTCAGGCTTTATTCTGCTTTTTTCAGTCTTTTCATGCATTAAATGGTGGAAAAATTTCAATTTTTTGGATCATGAATGTTACGGGTTTTAGGGTTTCCGCTTTTCTTTTTGTTTCATGCCAAATAGGGCATGAATCTGTGAAAAGTTTGAGGCATATTGATCGTAAATGTGTTCATTAGAAATTTCTATTACGAATTTGTGATTATCTTTGAGAAAAACATATTAATTTGGATATTGAAGCCACGGGTTCACGAAACCAGGTAAGAACTCTGCGTTCTTTTTTTTTTCCACCATTTGATCAATTTCAGTCCATATTTTGAAAATAATTAGTTAAATTTGTAGGGTTTTAAATCTTTTTCATGTCTTTTATCATTTACC